CTGTCACCACACCTCACACCACCACAATGCACTCAGGCAGCACCATACTGGGGATGGCCACCAGTACCCCAGGGACACCTGTCACCACACCGCATACCGCCTCCCTGCCTGTAGGCACCGCCACACCCTCCGGGCCAACACAGGAGACAGCCACCAGCATTGTGGGCATAGCTAGCAGCGCACCACACACCACCACCCTGGGGGCCACGGCCACACGGGTTTCTTCCTCACAGCCCACAAGCAGACCAAGGAGCTCCACGGCAGCCACCAGCCCCACAGGCACGGCTGTGACAGCCAGCTCTGGGAGTGCCATAGTTCCACCATACTCCACAGCCACCACCAATCTAGCTGGCTCCACATCTGTCTCTGTGACACACACCTCCCTGCAGACCACCTCCGGGCAACTCAGCACCCCAAGCACATCAGAGCCTACCACGCTCACCCCGTTGACAACGCAGACGTCCACAGCCAGAACCCAAACAGGAGTCCCAGTAGTGACGGGCACTGTCTCCACGGTACCTGTGACCACCAGGCTGGGGCAAACGACACCAACACAGTGGCCTTCCACACCGCACACCGAGGTCAGCACAGCCAGGACACAGACAACCATGGGCCACACGACGCAGGCTACCACCAGCCAGGCCGCCACCCGCTGTCAGCCCCGCTGCCAGTGGACAGAGTGGTTCGATGTTGACTTCCCCACGTCGGGGGTCCCAGGTGGGGACATGGAGACGTACGAAAATATCCGGGCCACAGGGGGCAAGCTGTGTTTAGCTCCAGAGAAGATTGAGTGCCGGGCAGAGAACTACCCTGAGGTGAGCATCGACCAGATTGGGCAGGTGCTTACCTGTAGCCTGCAGGTTGGCCTGGTCTGCAGGAATGAGGACCAGACAGGCACCTTCACCATGTGCTTCAACTACAATGTGCGTGTGCTCTGCTGTGACCGTAGCCACTGCCCTGGCTCTCTGCCCACTGCCTCCAGGCCCCACACCCAGACCCCTGTCACCTCAGCCACCAGCAGAGGGACAGAGCCAGGACGCTCCACGCAGACTAGCACCTACCCTGGTGCCAGCCTCTCTACGGTTCCTGAGAGTCTCTCTGTGCCACCAGCAGCTCCCAGCAGCCTTCCCCACAGCTCTGTGCAGCAGACTTCTGGGAAGCTGACCACCACAGCCAGGCCAGTGCCGACCTCCACTGCCTCGTTGCCCACAGGCCCCACAGCCAAGGCCAGCAGCTCCTTGGTGCCTCCTTCTTCCACCCCAGGGACTGTTTCCACTGCAGAGGTCCCTACTAGGACCCCACCGACATTCAGTCCATCTGTGGCCCCCTCCTCGAGGCTCAGCACACTCAGCCCCACTATCTCTCCATCACCTTGTTTCTGCCGTGCATTTGGACAGCTGTTTTCACCTGGTGAGTAGCCGACCCAGTGCTGCCCAGCTGTGTCCTGTCCACCTGCATCTCCACCCCCTTGTGACCCTTGCGCTCCTGCCTGCTGTCTCAGCTACTGGCCTTCCTGGTCTTGGGCTGTGGCTGTGTCCTCAGACAGCTTTCTCCCGTCCAGGGGACGTCATCTATAATAAGACTGACAGAGCCGGATGCCACTTCTCTGCCATCTGCAACCAACACTGCGACATCGACCGCTTCCAGGGCACTTGCCCCACATCCTCCCCACTGGTGTCCTCCATCCCTGTGTTGTCACCCTCCCCACCTCCCCCTGGCTGTGACAATGCCATCCCTCCCCGGCAGGTGGGCCTGGTTGTCCCTTCTTCTCCTGTTGCTGTGGACACCGGGTCTGAGTGGCTATGGCTGCTGATGCCCATGGACCCTATCCAGTCCCCGTGACTGTAGTCGGGGGCAGGAACACCACACGTGGTCATGGCCCACAGCTTGGGGTCATGGGCACTCAGGCTGCAGGCTGCATGGGCTGGGCCAGCCCAGGCCCCTTGAGTACCCAGGCAAACACCCACCTCTCCCCACCCAGGTGAACGAGTCCTGGACACTAGACAACTGCACTGTGGCCAGGTGCGAGGGCAACAACCAGGTGGCCCTGCTGCCGCCAGTGCCCATGGCCAATGTGACCTGCGCCAATAAGCGCCTGCCCGTGAAGGTGTGGGAGCAGCGCCAGCCCTGCCACACCCACTACGAGTGCGAGTGTGAGTCCCCAGGGTCAGGGCGGAACCCGCGGCGCGAGGCCATGGGAGGGGCTCAGCGGGCACTGTGCCTGGGTCCTGACGGCTGCCCGAGCCAGGTCACACGAGTGTCCCAGGCCCTGGCATGAGGCCCTACCCCAACAGGCTCAGTCAGGGATTCCAGGTACCCCTGCCCCATCTCCTGTGCCTTCCTCCATGTCTGACCCTCTGTGCCTTAGGATACTGTCCCTGGGTTTAGGGCTGCCTTGGTCATTCAGGACAGTCCCTCCTCATCACAGTGACATTTCCAGGTCCAAGGTAGACATGGATTTGGGCAGATGACAGTTAAGCCATGACGCCCATTTTACAGATGAGGCGACTGGTGCCTGAGGGTTTGTGTGGCCCCGAGGAGACGCAGGGCCACAGGCTGATGGAGGCCAGGCGGGGTCTCCAGCCTGTGGTGTCCTACAGGCTCCTGCAGTGGGTGGGGGCACTCACACTACTCCACGTTTGATGGCACGACCTATTCCTTCCTGGGCAACTGCACCTACATCCTGGTGAGAGAGATCCGCCCGCGCCACGGGAACCTGAGTGTCCTCCTGCACAGCCACTACTGCAGCGCCGCCGTCCCCGCCGCCAGCTGTCCCCGGGCCCTGCAAATCCTCTATGAGTCAACGGAGGTCATTCTCACCACCACGGCTGGCCCTGGTGGGACGGAAGAGAGCCTGGTGAGTACACAGGGCACGGGGTGGGGCGTGGGCACCGGCCTGACTGCCCTGGAGGGCAACTCGGGAGGGCATGCCCAGGCCAGAGCCCCAAATTTGCTACCACTGTGCCGGGCCTGCCCTTGTTTGGTCCCTGGATGCCCCAGATCCTGTTTGATGGCGTGCGAGTGAGCAGGGCCTTCAGCAAGAGTGGCGTGAGTGTGTCTGCGACTGCAGCCACCAACATGCACGTCGAAATCCCGGCCATCGGACTGAACATCACTTTCACCGGGAGCATGTTCCAGGTCTGGCTGTCCTACAGCCGCTTCGGCCACAACACAGAAGGCCAGTGTGGTGAGTGCCTCTCCTGGGCCTGGCAGAGCTGCCGCAGGTACACACCGGGAGCACAGGGTCTGTGCTACCGAGGTTCCTCAGCAGCCCGCCCGCTCCCCAGGTACCTGCACTAACAGCCAGGGTGACGACTGCCGCCTGCCAGGCGGCACCATGGCCCCCACCTGCCAGGACATGGCCCAGTCCTGGCAGGTGCCGGACAGCTTTGGAGAGGACTGCTGGCCTCCACCCAGCCCAGCCCCGAGCACCAGCCCCCAGCCCCCAGAGCCCAGCACCTCCGCCCCATGCCCCCCTGGACCCCTCTGCAGGCTGCTGCTGAGCCCGTGAGTCCTCTGTTACTGGGGCAGGGGTGGCCCAGGGTACCCTGCCATCCAGGTTGCTGCCGGGCACTGAGATCCAGCTGACTGCCCTCCCAGGATCTTCGCCGAGTGCCACGCTTTGGTCCCGCCTGACTCCTTCTTCAGCAGCTGCGTCAGTGACCACTGCCGGACCAGCCTCCCAGAGGAGCCTTGCCAGAGCCTGGCAGCCTATGCGGCCCTCTGCCGAGCCCGGGGCCTGTGCACAGACTGGCGCAATGCTACCAGCGGGTTGTGTGGTGAGCAGGGTCACCCTGGGCATAACCTCCCAGCTGCTGGGCGCCTCCCCGACACCCCTGTCTGTGTCCACAGAGCTGCCCTGCCCAGCCACCAAGGTGTACCAGCCATGCGGCCCGGTGCAGCCAGCCTCTTGTGATTCCAGGTAAGCAGTCCCTTGGACAGAGGAGTGGGGGCCAAGGGTAGACTGGGCCTGGGGGGCAGAACTCTGTGTGCTCCAAAGCTAGGGTCACCTGCTCCCGGCCCAGTCTCAGCCAAGTGCACAGAGGACATTCTCCCCTTGGCCTGGCCCCAGGACCCTGCCCACCCTTAGGCAGCCTGTTCTGGTCCAGAGGGTCCCTCTTTCCGCCTGCAGGAACCAGAGCCCCCTGAGTGGGGGACTGGCTGAGGGCTGCTTCTGCCCCAAGGGTCAGCTTCTCTTCAGCTCCTACAAGGACATTTGCGTGCCAGAATGCCGTAAGTACCCTCTGAATAATAAATAGGGCCCCGCTCTGGACAGGGCAGGAGTGGTCACAGTGAGGCCTGGGGCCCTGCTGAGCCCTGATGCCCAGGAAGGTGCTCCTGCTTCCCTGCTACCGCTGTGAGGACCCCTGCAGAGCCAAGTGCCCCATACCCCAGTCCCAACCCGTTTCATCAGCCTCACACCCATGAGGTCTCTAGAGGACTTGGGGTCTCTGTCTACTGGACCTCAGTCCAGTCTGGCACCCTGGCGCCTCTGATTGTTCCTCTTTTTTCTATCCAGCCTGCGTGGGGCCAGACGGACTCCCCAAGTTTGTGAGTGGTGCTGTCCCATCTGCCCCGCCCCACTTGGGCTAAGAGGGAAAGGAGAGGGGTGCACCCATGGGATGGGGTGTCCTTCCTGCCTGCCACCTGCTGGGCTGCTGAGGCCCTTGGCCCTACCTTGGTTGTTCCAGCCCGGTGAGCGATGGGCCAGCGACTGCCAGGCCTGCGTGTGTGATGCGGCCTCGGTGTCGGTGCAGTGCACACCTGTGCAGTGTGAGGATCAGGGCCCTGCCCCACAGTGCAACCAGGACGGCTTCGTGACTGTGACCAGGCTGCAGGCCAACAACTGCTGCCCTGAGACCCTGTGTGGTGAGCACCCCAGGCAGAGGAAAGGGAGGAGGCAGAGGCAGCCGGTCCTGCTGGGCCCTGAGCAGCAGGTGCTTCTGATTTCTACCTACAAGCGAGGCCGATGACCTCAGGGACAACCCAGGGACTTAAGGGGTGGGAGGGACAGAGTACATCAGCCCCCAGGGAAAAATTCACTGGAAACCAGTTCATCCAGGGCTGGGGAGCCCCAGGCCAGTGGGCAGCACCCTCACAGGCCCCACATCTCTGCAGTCTGCAATGTGACCACCTGCCGCCAGGCGCTGCCCACCTGTCCCCCAGGCCAGGAGCTGATCCAGGAAGAAGGCCAATGCTGCCCCACCTTCCGCTGCCGTAAGCTGGGAGGGCTGGGCTGAGGTGGGTGTGGGTGAGGAGGGACTGTGACAGCCACACTGCCACACTCGGCCCTTTCCTTCTAGAGCCCCAGCTGTGCGAGTACAACGGCATGGTCTACGGGGTAAGGGCTCCGCCAGGCAGGGTGGCTGAGTGCGGCAGGGCAGGGCAGGGCAGGGCAGGGCAGGGCAGGCGGGTGGAAGACCAGGTCCAGGTGTCCACTTGGGTCTCCATGTTCTGTCCAAGAGCAGACAGGCTGTGGGCCCTAGGCTGGAATTTAGCCACGGCTTCTGCTGAGAGCTCAGTCAGCCTACTGGACTCTCAGCAAAAGTGTCCCTGCCCGCTGGGCCTGTGCTCAGCCGGGCACAGCCAGGCACCCAGAGCCTTGGTGCCAACCCTTGTCCTTGTAGGTTGGTACAAACTTCTCAGGTGTCACTCCCTGCCACATGTGCACCTGCCTCTCTGGGGCCAGCCAGGAGCCGGTCGTGCACTGTGAGGAGAAGACCTGCAGCCCCTGCCCCCAGGTGCACGAAGCTGCTTGGCCTCCCTTGAGGGAGGGTGTGGGGCTGGCCCGGGGTGGAGGGCTCCCAGGCTGGGTCAGGTTCTGGGAGGCTGCAGTGGAAGAGCAGTGCTGGAGGTGAGGGAGGCGGAGCTGGACTTCTGGGGGGGACATGGCCCCGGGCCCCTGGGGTGTGCCCAGGACAGCAGGCTGGGCGAAGGGAGACCTGATCACCTTTCTATGTCCCCAGGGCTTTGTGCACTCCAGGGTGGCTGGGCAGTGCTGCGGGAACTGCGTGCAGACTGCCTGTTTCACTCCAGAGGGCCGGACAGTGCAGGTGAGGGCTGGACTCTGGGTGGCGTGCCCTGCCCAGGGCCCTGCCGCCCTGCCCCTCAGCTGGTGTCATGCGGGCTCTGCCCTCTGCCTCACATTTCAGCCCAATGAGACCTGGGTCAGCAGCCCTGTGGACAACTGCACCACGTACCTCTGCGAGGCCCAGAGTGGGATCCCTGTGCTGATACCACAGCCCACACTGTGCCCAGACGTGTCCCTCTGCAGGGTATGTGTCAGAGGCTCCGCCCCACGGGAGGCCTAGACAGGCCCCACCTGTTCCCTGAGGTCCAAGTACCAGGATCCCACTCTAGTCTCAGTTCTGCCTTTAGCTCTACCCCTGTCGTTGGCTCTGCAGGGGATCCTCAGGAGAACTGGCTGCTGCTACACCTGTGAGGAAGAAAAGGGTAAACTGAGGCACTCTCCCACCAGCCTGTCCAGTCCCCACCTACGGTTCCTACTGGGAACTGCCTATTTTTCTGCCCCAGGCAGCAGTGGGATCCTGGTACCCTGAGCCCACCTGAGCCCCAGGTATGGGGACTGCTCCTGCCTGGAGAGACTATGGCCTCAGCACTGCCTGTAATCTTCCCAGATATGTGTCAAGTCCATGCCAATGTGACCATCCTGCGGTACCAGGGCTGTGAGGCTGAAGTCACTGTCACCTTCTGCGAGGGCTCCTGCCCTGGAGTGTCCAAGTAAGAGGCGTTGCTGCCTGAGGAAAAGGGGGTGGCCCTGCAGAGCAACCCCACATCCACTTGCACAGAGCCTGAGCCACACAGGTGCCAGGCACTTTGGCTCTGGACACCAACTTGGGACCTGCTGCATGCAGAAGTGGCTAGTGGGGCAGAAGGGTCGGGTGGCTGGAGGCCTAGGGGAAGCGTCCAGAGGCAGAGGCATCGAAAGGTGGGGCCGGTCAGGGTCACCAGGGGCCATGGAGGCAGAGCTGGGCCTTAGTGGCTCTGAGGACATGGGAGGGGAGCTGCCAGGGCCAAGTGGACAAGGAGCCACCTCATCAGCCAATTGCTCCCAGGTACTCCATGGAGGCCCGGACTATGCAGCACCAGTGCAGCTGCTGCCAGCAAAGCAGCACCCGCCGGCAGGCGGTGACCTTGCAGTGCCCCGACGGCACGGCCATCCAGCACACCTACACCCAGGTGGACGCCTGCACCTGCACCACAGCCTGTGTGCCCTCGCCCACACAGATGGGCACTACCACTGGAGCCCTGCTCGAGGGCTTGCCCAACCACCAGAGCCAGGGCGCACATCACTGACCATAAGGACCTAGGGGACCTGTTCTGGAGCCCATGAAGACATGTGGGGCTCCCCTGGCCTCCACTCCCTCTCCCTCCAGCACCATGGAGGCTGGACCAGCGAGGGCCACTGGAGGACAGTGCTGGATGGGGGTCCTGTCCTGGGAGACCCTCAGGTCTCAACCTTCCTGACATGCCAAGGGCACAGAGGCCCCAAAGCTGTGTTGGACAAGATGGCTGCTTGCCCAAGTTGGGACCCCACAGCCTGCCTGCCAGAGCAACCTGGGACTGGGCCCACCAATGGGAGGAGGGCAAACCAGGCTCACTGCAATAAACTCTGGCATTGTTTCTGTCCTGGTGTCTTTTCCTGCCACCTCTGCGCCCAGGCTCACTGCCCCTTGTTCCAGCAGCCAAGATGGAGCAAGACCCTGCAGGGTCAGGACCCACAGATCCACTGGGAGGGGCACGGCAGAGTGAGGAGCCACCAAGCCCACTCAAGCCCTGGGTATCCCTGGAGATCAGTCCCAGTGTGCGTGCGTGGCCACAGGGGCTAGGCAGGGGCTCAGCTGCCACCACTGGACACAGGGGACTAATGAAGCACAAGGCGTGAAACCAAGTAACAGGTTTCAAGAAGGCACGTAGCTGTGTGCTTGACTACCCGGGTGCAGGCAGGCAGAGCAATGAAGCTACCATGAGCAAGGCAAGTGGGTGTCTTTTATACGGATGCAAAGAGGGCGGGGGAAGGCTTAACAAACATCTGTGTTTAGTATCTGGCAGCCTCGGATCCTGGTGGGCAAAGTCCTTGCAGTGTCTGCTGTAAATTTCTAGGGCGCCTCCAGATGCCTCAGGCCTTGCAGAATTCCTGTCCTACCTCCTTTCCTGCGTCTGGGGACAGCAGACTCAGTGCTGAGCCGAGTTCCTGCAGAGGGCAGTACTTCCGCTGGCACACCGGCTGAAGGCAGGGAGAGGCAGCCCAGGTTAGAGACTCCAGGGGCAACACAGGGAAGTATGTCATGGACGAGGAGGAGCAAGGGGGTGGCAGGGTGTAGCTTGTGGCCTGTCCATGCCAAGCCCGTCATGAGTCCCCCTGCTGCACATGTGGCCTCCTAGTCTCTGCCTTCATTTCCTGTCTTCTGTTCCTAAGTGGAGGGCAGCAGGGGCCTGGGATGTGTGGGCTTGGGGCTGGGCTGCTGTGTGAGGGTGGGGACAGGAAATGTGCCATGGCCTCCTGCGCAGTGAGGCTCTGGGCTGAGTTAGGCAGGGAGGGCAAGAAGTGGCCTCCAGGGGCCCTGACCTGAGGAGGGGCAGATGAAGGAGGCCTCCGTCAAGGAAGCCTCAGGTAGGGAGAGCAGGGGGCTTCCGCCCAGTGTCCCGGGGACGGAGAATTGTGAAGACAGACACGGGTGATGGAAGTATTGGGGAAGTGCTAAGGTAAGAGGCTTATAAAAAGCCCTTCCCAACAGAAAATGCATTCAAGCCAGCACAGTGGCTACTACAGGGGAGGCGGAGGCAGGAGGGGTCAAAGTTCAAAACCAGGGTAACTTGATAAGACCATCTCAAAATATAAAAAGGCTTGCAATTGTGGCCCCATGCTCAATACTGGTTTCTGAGAGAGAGAGAGAGAGAGAGAGAGA